CCCCCCCCCCCCCCCCCCCCCCCGGCTCAGGGTGTGGATATGTCGCGCCACATCTGTCTTGGACGGTTAAAGTGAGACATGCTAAAGAAGAAGAGAGACAGTGAGAATAGGATGAGAACGAAAATGAAAATAAAGAAAATCTGCAGGGGCCCGGCAGCGCAAGGACGCGCGAGAGGACGAAAGGTAGGTATTACGAGCATACACACTCGTATGTGGCGAGGCGTTTTCCGGGTAGTACCGTGCAATCAATACTGTCGTGCTAGCATGCTTCCAATACTCGTAGTATCTCGTGTACTGCCATGTACGAGGTCAGGATACTCCTGTCACTGCTCGAGACCGTACCTGTGTGTGCGACTCTTATCGCTATGCCGTCGGGGAAAAAAAGGCGATAGTTCCATCATGTCTCTCCGTATGATTACTCCGTACGTCTACGGAGTAGCAATACTGCTTGCTGTAATCTGTACGTATTACAGATTATATGTAAAGGCGGTACCGCAACACTGGAATCAGCAACTACTGCACCACGTCTAGCGCTGCATTAAGGCGCGCGACCGGGTGATGCTAACCGTAATACTCCGTACATGGCGACGTACTCTATACTCGTATGGCTGTATGTACGGCGTGTTGCGACGCATCCACATGTACATGTACTTGTCGCGCGGGAGCCGAGATAGTGGACGACTAGGGCCGCATTTCGGCCGCAGGAGATGGGGGGGAGCCACACCGGTGGCAGGGGAGATCTCGCTGGACTTTGTCTGATCCATGGATGGCGGTGCTAGCCTCTAGATGGTGGTGGCGCCGGACCTGTCGTCATTCTCGCGGTTTGTGCATATCGCTCATATTCGTACAGAGCCGCGGCACGTACGGAGCATTACGATGTGTATGTGGTATTTATGGCCTCAGCTGGTTTTCTGTGGCAATTACTGACCGTACCTGACACCGGGGAAAATGTCTCTCCTGTCGGTCTCGTGGTCGATATCTCATTCGTGCTCATGTATGTGATACAGCCACGCGCTAAGATCGCGACGCGTGTGAAGCCTCCAGCGTCCCTCTCGGACAGCTTCTCGTTTCTGCTATTCGAGCTTGTACGAGCATGCTCGGCGACGGCGACCGTCCTGGTGTCCCGCCTCGCTGTACAAGCCATCGTTGGCTGCTCAGTCAGGTGGCGCACGCAATTTTACTCCTGAATCTCATCTCAATGCCAGTTGGTGATGGTGGTGTATGTGATGTATTACCAAGAGCCTCACCGAGGGTCACTTCAGCGGTCACCGGCTGCATGCCTTGTTTGTCCACGCTCACGAGCGCGGGTATCAAGCAGCCTGTGTGTTCTATATGTCAGGATGGGCTCCATGACCCTCTGTCGGCCAGCCTCATGCCGCTTTCTTTGCGCCCTGCTGTACACTTGCAGATATGAGCGATGATGGAGCGGTATAATGCTGGCAGCATAAC